GGGAAATCCTTACGCAAATACCTACAACCCAGGTTGGCGAAATCATCCAAACTTTTCTTACAAAAGCAAAAATGCATTGCAAATGCCTACTGCTCCACCAGGATATCAGAAACCAGCTGCTGCTCAGACTGCACCTAGGAAATAAAACCTCGAGTTGATGATGGAAAAATTCATAGCTACTCCAGCTCAAACAAACAAAGAATTCCTGAATCAAAACATACACACTAGCGAGCAAATTAAACAGTTGACCGGAAAAGTAGACGCTTTAGCCACCCACAACAAAATGTTAGAAACACAGATATCACAAGTGGCTCAACAACAAGCCTCTGCTGCCGCACCCGCTGGCACATTTCCTAGACAGCCCGAACAGAATCCAAAAGGCCAAGCAAATGCTGTAATACTAAGAAGTGGAAAAGAATTGGACGAACCGATCGATCCGAGGACCGAAAACTCAGCCATGCAACAAAAACCAACTGAACAAGCAGAAAAGGAATCTGAGTTAGAGAAGAAGGAAGACAACGAGAAGGAGGATACCGCAAGTGAAAAAACTCAAGCACCTCCAGCGCCATATAAACCACCTATTCCTTATCCTCAAAGACTAATAAACTCCAAGACTTCAGGACAGTTTAAGAAATTTGTAGAGCTCCTTAAACAGTTGAATATTACTATTCCTTTTACAGAAGCGATAACTCAAATGCCGTCATACGCTAAATTTCTCAAAGAAATCCTGTCGAATAAGAGAAAGATCGAGGATAGCGAAACAGTTACACTTACTGCAGAGTGTAGCGCTATTATTCAAAACCGCATGCCTCCTAAGTTAAAAGACCCAGGTAGTTTCTCCATACCCTGCGTCATAGGAAAGTTTGTGATAGACAAAGCTCTATGCGATTTAGGAGCCAGTATCAGTGTTATGCCTTTATCTATATGCAAAGCTGAATATGGGAGACCTCAGACCAACCAAAATGTCCGTACAATTAGCTGACCGATCAGTAAAACACCCCGTCGGAATACTGGAAAACGTTCCAGTACGCATAGGACAATTCTACATCCCAACCGACTTCATAATCATGGACATCAAGGAGGATACTGTTACCCCAATTATCCTAGGAAGACCATTCCTAGCTACAGCCGGAGCTATTATAGATGTGAAGAAAGGAAGGCTAACATTCGAAGTAGGAGAAGAAAAGATAGAGTTCATTCTCACCAAGTTCTTACAAGCACCAGCCATAGACAATACCTGCTATTTAGTAAATGAAATTGACGAATGCATAAGAGAACTTGAAAATGAAGAGACCATGTATTCAGAAATAATAAAGATTCAAATACCCGATATTTCTGAAGACGATGATTGGCGTAAACCGTATAAAGACGACAGCCTAAGCGAAAGCTTAGCACTGACCCCAAACCATATGCCAGGTCCGAAAAACCCATCTTTAGAACTTAAAACACTACCCAAAAACCTTAGATATGAATTCCTAGACGATGAACTAAAAAGACCAGTGATAGTCAACGCCGACTTAGGACAACCAAAAACCGAAAAACTATTAGAAGTCCTAAAGAAGTACCCCACCGCGTTAGGCTATAACATAAGCGATCTAAAAGGTATAAGCCCTTCAATCTGTATGCATCGAATTACAATAGAGGAAGACTCTAAAACCTCTAGAGAGCATCAGAGGAGACTGAACCCCATCCTAAGCACTGTAGTCAGATATGAAGTAAAGAAATTGCTAGATGCAGGAATCATCTATCCAATCTCCGATAGTGAGTGGGTTAGCCCAGTTCATGTCGTACCGAAGAAAGGAGGAGTCACAGTAGTTAAAAATGAAAAAGGTGAATCAATAACAAAAAGAGTCGTGACTGGAAGCAGGATGTGTATTGATTATAGAAAGCTTAACAAGGCCACACGCAAAGATCATTTCCCGTTACCCTTCATAGACCAAATGTTGGAAAGATTAGCCAAACATTCATATTTCTGCTATCTAGATGGTTATTCAGGATTCTTCCAAATTCCCATTCATCCTGACGACCAAGAAAAGACTACATTCACATGTCCTTATGGTACTTTTGCCTACCGCCGAATGCCATTCGGACTCTGCAATGCTCCAGCAACCTTCCAAAGATGCATGATGGCAATCTTCGCAGATTTCATAGACGACATCATGGAAGTATTTATGGACGATTTCTCGGTATGTGGACAAAGTTTCGAAGGATGCCTACAAAACTTAGAAATGGTATTAGAACGTTGTATAAAAGTAAACCTCGTCCTAAATTGGGAAAAATGCCATTTTATGGTCCGACAAGGAATAGTTCTAGGACATGTCATATCAGATAAAGGAATTGAGGTCGACAAAGCTAAAATAGAGATTATAAAAGATCTCCAACCTCCAAAATCCGTACGAGAAATACGGAGTTTTCTAGGACATGCCGGTTTCTACCGAAGATTTATAAAATTTTTTTCAAAAATCACAAACCTTTGACCGACCTGTTGATGAAAGATGCTGAGTTCGTCTTCGACGACGACTGTTTAAAAGCATTTGAAACATTAAAATCAGCCCTTATCACCGTACCGATTATGCAACCACCCGATTGGCGACTACTGTTCGAAATCATGTGCGATGCGAGTGATTATGCCGTAGGCGCAGTTCTAGGACAAAGGAAGGACAAGAAACTCCATGCCATCTACATTGCCAGTAGAACCTTAGATCCTGCCCAAATGAACTACGCTACCACAGAAAAGGAACTTCTAGCAGTTATATTCGCGCTTAACAAATTCTGTTCTTACTTAGTAGGAGCAAAAATTATCATATACACAGACCACGCTGCCATTAGGTACCTAATAAGTAAAAAGGATGCCAAACCAAGACTATTGAGATGGATCCTGTTATTACAAGAGTTTGACTTAGAAATCAAAGATAAGAAAGGAACCGAGAACGTTGTTGCAGATCACTTATCCCGAATAGAAGGCATCAGACACGAACCAGTACTGATAAACGACGATTTCCCGTACGAACGCCTGATAGCCAAATTAGAAAGTGACATACCCAACTCAATCTCGGAAGATCCAGAATTCGAAAAAGCCGTAGAAGCCGTCTATGCCCAAGTCACATTACCTTGGTATGCTGACATCGTTAATTACCTCGCTGCAGGCGTGCTTCCACCGGATCTCACTTATCAGCAAAAAAAGAAATTCTTCCATGATCTGAAACACTATTATTGGGACGAACCTCTACTCTTCAAGAGAGGGGCCGACAACATATACTGTCGCTGTGTCCCAGAGGAAGAAATAGAAAATATCATTTCCCAATGCCATTCAGCACCATATGGTGGTCATGCTAGTACATCCAAGACGTGCGCTAAGATTCTCCAAGCTGGCTTATTCTGGCCTAACCTCTGGAAAGACATTCACATCGCTGTGCTAAAATGTGATCGATGCCAATGAACTGGCAACATCTCACAACGCGATGAAATGCCTCAGAAAGGAATCTTAGAGGTAGAAATCTTTGACGTATGGGGAATAGATTTCATGGGACCGTTCCCACCTTCTTTTGGTAATAACTACATACTCGTCGCTGTAGACTATGTGTCTAAATGGATAGAAGCCATTGCTACTCCAACAAACGACGCACGAGTAGTAATCAAACTCTTCAAAAACACAATCTTTCCTAGATTTGGTGTACCCAGACTCGTCATTAGTGACGGCGGATCTCACTTCATATCGCGAATATTTGATAAACTTCTCTCTAAATATGGAGTCCGACACCGAGTAGCTACACCTTATTATCCGCAAACTAGCGGACAAGTAGAGGTCTCGAACAGAGAAATAAAATAGATATTGGTGTTGCACCCTAATTTTTGACCATAAGATGCCATCTTTTTTTTTATATATATATTTTTGTCTCTATACTTTTACGCGTTTTCTACCGCTAATCAATTTGTGCAGGTGCAATATTTTCATGTAAACTCTTATGATCAAGCATCCCATGGACAAGCCACGAATCACAGTGATTAAGGTGCGAAGAGATTAAGGAGCGAGTTTTAACTTAGGGTTCACAAGCAACATTTGAGATTGGTCAAGGTCAGGTTATCGTGTGATGCAAGTGGTGATTCAGATTTGAAAGTTTGCAACTCGAGTTATAGTCTCACGAAGTTCAAATTGGACCTCAGACTCAAGATTCACTTTGAGCTTTCCACCCCATTAATCCACTCTTAAGGACATATCCAAGTTGTACAAAACATCACGCCTTGGCCCACCGGCTGATTGTCCTTGCGGTTTTGTTAAAGAACTAGAAACATTATTTACGGTACAACGCCCAGTTTGAAGGCCCCTATACTACGAGGCCCATGACGCACCTTTTATGGAATATTAATCGCCAACTTAAGATATCATGCTTGAATAAATTTACGTGTTCAAGGTTTAACAATGCAAAAACTCGAAGCGGTGATGTAAAATCATTTAGGAGAAGATGTTTTAAGATCAAGAAGTGTTAATTGAGTTTGGTACATAACTTGTTCGTTGTCATGGAACCGTGAGCCAATGTTTATTACAATTCTCTACTTAACTAAATGATCACAAATCCATTTACGTATACAAAAGAAAGTGCTTCCAATCATTATCACGCCAAGCTGTTTTCTTAAATTATGACATCATGGGTTTACACCAAGTTACGTTGTGCAAGAGAATGTTTAGAGAACCATCATTCAAGAAGCTCCTAATACAGGATATGCAGCCTCGTGAACTAGAAAGCGGCTCCGGGATATTGGTCTTCCACCACCTATGGGAGTTAGATCGGGAGATGCAATTTTCTGATAACGCCAAAGAGTCCTTACTGCTTGGAGTTTGAACCTTTCGCTTTTGCTTGATTAAAGAGAAGACCTCAACTGCATCACGATTAACACCCTGCAAGCAACCAACAACACCATTAATGTTTCTTCTTCTCTCTCTAATAACAACAAGAACACAGTGATACGCTGCATTTGGAGAATTTCAATCAACAGAAAAAATGAGGTCTTCTTCTTCTACTGCTGCTGATTCGGGTATGATCAATATCGCTGCGAGTGCTCAGAAGCTTGATGTTGATAATCGAATTGCTCTTCGGTTTTATTATCGGGTTGCTGATAACATACTTCGGCAGGCCGACATCTTTCGCGCAGAGAAGAACATCATTGACCTATATGTCCTGCTTTTGAGATTTTCTAGTTTGGCATCTGAGACAATACCGCGTCACCGAGAGTATAGATCATCTCCACAAACCAAGAAACAGTCATTGAAAAAGAGATTGAATGAACTAGAGAAGCTGAAACCATTAGCCCAGCAGAAGATCAACGAGATTAAGAGCAGAAATGCTCACCGACAAAATGGACGGGGGAATTTTCATTCAAATAATAACGTGGATTTTTCTTCTGTGCAAAAGCAAACTTTGGCTAGTAATGGCCAAATAAAGCCTGTCAGAGCAACTGCTATGGAATTTGCTTACCAAGGATCAAGTGGTCAACATTTCTCGCATGTCAAGCCTGTAGAAGAGCACGTGCGAAGACTATCTCTAACTCTGCCACCTCCAAAGGAGGAAACTCTCTCTAGACATTCTATTCTTGGTCCCAATGGGCTTAATGGGCAGTGGCGGTCACCTACTATTGACACAGGGGTCAGGTATCCATCCAACGTAGATCTGTCTCCAGTTGAACTGCCAAGCTTGCAACGTCACTTGAAAGATGTATCTCCGAGTAATAAAGATAGTAGCATTGCAGAACTCCACAAATTAGATTTAAATTCAATTCCTACCGAGAGCGAAATCAGCAACCCTGCACTTCCAAAACGAGCGTATTAAAGCCAATTCCACCAGCAGATACAATAAGACAATGAGGTTACCAGCTCAGTGCGATACTTGCTACCAAACAAAGAGGCAAAGAGACCTTCACACCAGGAAAATACCAGGTTCTAACCATACGAGCTTTCCATCACACGGACTATACCTTTGGGAATTACGACCTCCGAGAACAGCTTCAAAGCCACGCACCACGCCCCAAACATTTGGACCTGCAAAGAGTCAGAGCAAACTCAGCAGTTAGCGCAAGAAACCGACGTCCAAAACCACTCCGTGATGAACCTCCCACCGTATTCCTTGCCCGTCGTGCATCTCATACCAAACCTGCAACAGTCAGTACATGAGAAAACAGAAAGAAATGTTGAGATACGCATTCAGCTTGGCCTGAGAATAAGAGTAGAGATTGGAACAACAACCTTGCTTTTCCCCGCTCGCGTGATTGTAGCTGCTAGCACCCTCATTTCATAAGACCACATATCTTGCATTCAGTTTACTCACAAGGAAGATATTCAGAACCACCAACTTTGCTCTTCGTGAGATCCCCACACGCATCAAGCAAGAACTCATTCTGGGCTTCTAATTCATCTCCCTAAGCCCAACTTCTATTCGCACCTGCCAATACAACGATCGTAATTAGCATTTGGAAAAAGGGAATATTCCACAGAGATTCAGAATATCTGAGTTCAAAACTTGAGCAATTATTGAAATTGATACACTCAGATCAAAGATTGAGATCCCATTAAACGAAATTGGAACGAAAAGGGAAATTTTTCAAAGTAGGTTTCAATCAGCATTAAAATGTTTTCAAAGCATTCAATCAGACTTTAATCCCATTTGAGACATATATAAAGGGAAGAACGAAAACGAAAAAAAAAGGGTGAAGAGGAGACAACACCGATAATTACCGAAAAAACCCTAGATTCATAATTCAAGAGTCAAACAGAGAAACGACTTATCTCATCAACCGCGGAAACCACAGCCGCCGCCGCGATTCCTCAACCGACGAAGCGCCCCTGTCACCATCTCCGACTCAGTTGCAACCAACGAAACCGTCGGTAATACATCGCCCTTTTCCACATCATTAAAACTTTGATTGCTTTTGGTTTTTGATTTCAGGTTCAAGACACGATGAATAGCGAAGAATCGACCATGATTCGAGTAGCAGGCGAGGATTTTGAAATCGATTTGGGGGTGGATGTAAAAAGGGATTAGGGTTTGCGTTTTCCTCAATCGTGTTCGTGGTTTGCAACTTCATCACACATACACATCACTAACACTGCACTTAGACGTTAATTAACCTGTTTAGTTAATAATCCTAAAAAATATACTTATTTAAATATATCAACTATTTTATAAAACAACTAACATTTTTACGTAGGTTAGCCCTTTTTTAACTTATTAATCATTAATCCTTTTCTTATTTAATCAACCTTTTCTAATTTTAATTAACCATGTTCATTTCTATTTAATTACCCTTTTTAACTTCCCACCACTTCATAATTTTATTAATAATGATATATATTAATTTGTTTGTATTTTAATATGGGCAAATCCATTTGATAATAAAAAAACTAATATTAACCTAATATTTCTTATAATATCAAAACTCATAATAATCTTATTTTAATAAAAACTACTTAGTTAATATATTAGGACTTTTTTTATCTAAAATAAATTAAAACAATTCACCACTTAAAATATTTTTCCATTAAATAAATTCAACTTTTCTTAAAAATAAATTAATCTCCTCTTTAAATAATATTAACTTTTTTTTTCTTAAAAACAATTCAACCACGTCTAAAAAGTCAATCTTTTTTTTATAAATCAATTCTACAACTAAAATCAACTTAATCAATTTCAACTATAAAATCAATCGTGCACAACCACTTCACGACACATCCACTCACGTACATCTTAGCGCTTTCATGCGTATATATTATTTATCCTTATCTGCTTTTATTTTATTCACAATGCACACACTCACATAGCGCTTTCATGCGTACGTGTATGGTTTTATTCTTGCAATTTACTTTCAGCAATTTATAATTACCGCATCTACATTTATGCATTGCATCCGTCCAAAGGAAAAACCTACACATAATTCAACGTTGTGTGTAGTTGCACGCCATTTGCATCATTTCCCCACGATCCTTGATTCCATTCAAGTTGATCGCTTAAGATAGATCCTACCCCATAGGAAGGACCATTATCTCTACAACTTAGACAAGCAAACAACACAATACAAACTTTTCAAACACCTTTAGAGAATAGACGTTAATCATCTTAAGTGAGATATAATCTCCACCCCACAACAATACAATCAAACATGTAGGGACTTTGCCTTAAGAGCGATAAAGGCATACTTGGCGATCATCCGAGTATGTAAGACCTTTTCTTAAGACGATGCAAAGACCATTTCCTACAACCCCCTTTACATTTGTGGTGGTTATCTCTCCCTTAAAATGAAGACTCATCTCTTCTCCTAAACCCAATCAAAACAACTACCCTAAACCCGTAGGAACTTTGACCACAGTCAAAGGTCTCCTCTAACCCTTTAGGGTGAACTACAACATACTCTGATTCCACTCCCGTAAGGATATGTAGGCATAAGATGCGACATCTTATCGAGTATACTTAGAAACAAACCCCTAGGGTCTTTTAAACCTTTAAGCAGATAAACACTTAGCAGTAAACAAACATAAAACAAGAGGTTCCTGTAGAGTACTACAGAAACTTAGGATGCTAGTACCTTCCCTAAGTTTAACCAACCCCCGAACCTAAAACAATCTAGCTTGCATTTGCATTGCATAGTGGGAATTTCGATCTTTATCCCTTCCTTTGGACAAATCAAAGTTCGGTTGCAAATTGAATTAAAGATTCAAACTAATCAATAGTTTGGTATCCAAATTTCACCGCGACAGAAATGGCGACTTCACTGGGGAATGACAGATGGGTTTTCCCTATCTTATTTTGTTTTGTTTACTGCTTTATATATCTGACTATTTGATTAATTGTTTACATGCTTTCTCTTGTGTTTCTTTTGGGATTGTTGTCCTTGAGTGGTGAGATAAAGTTCTACACCCGAACTTGAGAGAAATTAAGATAGGATGGGATATATTCGAGGAGGCTTATAGGGAGTGGAATCCCTACTAAGTTGAATCGAGAATCCCGCTCAATTGAGGCCCTTTCGAAATGGTACTGTTGAACGAATAATCGTGAAGACACTCACTACTTTCGACTTTGGAACCTATGATATTGAGGACCGTAGTTACCTTAACCCAACTTTGGCCTTTATTAGGACGTAATGCGAGACTATGAGGAAGTACTTCCGAAATAGTGCTACGCGAAGCTACACTCAAAAGAAGTTCTCTTGAGAATATTATTAATCCTCGAGTAATTGGGAAAATTGATAATATCCGATAGATGGGCTGATGATTCTGAGTCCCTTTAGAACCTTGTTCTACAGGTACAAACAACCTTTAGTCCTTAAACCTTTGGGAAGGGTACACCTTTGCTCCATGCTCGTTGCAAACCTAGGGCACCCCCCTTGTTTGTTTATCTTTATTGTCCTTATGTGAATACTTGTGTTTGCTGCATTCATATAACATCATTCTACATTGGACTTCATGGGATTTACCTTTCGTTTATGGACATTGTAGGTCACTATGACTTCAGATAAAAGACATACTGTGAAATATACTTTTAAAAGTCCCAAATTGGATGACCTAAAGAAGTTGTGGGGTTTCATCGAAGATCAAGAAGGATTCAAGACCAAGTATGGGAAGCTGATATCTTTGTTGGGTTGCTCAGTGAATGAAGGACTTCTTGCCACTCTGCTACAGTTCTATGATCCTCTCTACCATTGTTTCACCTTTCCAGACTTTCAGTTGTTACCTACGTTAGAAGAGTACTCCTTTTTGGTAGGTCTACCTATTCTGGAAGAATCTCCTTTTCCCTTCTTGGAAAAGGACCCTGATGAGAAAGATATTGCTAAAGCTCTCCGTTTGAAGGTATCTGACATCAAGGCCAACCTAGTTACTAAGGATGGAATTCTTGGTTTAAAGACAGGTTTCCTAATCGAGAAAGCTTCCTTCTATGCTGGTTATTCTAATAAGGCTCCGTTTGAGGCAATTTTCGCTTTGCTTGTTTATGGGCTGTTTTTATTCCCAAGTTTTGAAGGTTTCATCGATCTCAAGGCATTCAAGATCTTTATGAAGAACAACCCAGTGCCAACTCTGTTGGGAAATGCATATCATTCTATACATCTCCGAAACCTTCGTGGTGGAGGGATGATTACTTGCTGTGTACCTTTACTTTACAAGTGGTTTATTTCGCACTTGCCGAAGTCTAGCTCTTTTACAAACATTGGAAAAGAGCATTGGTCTCCAAGGGTTATGGCTTTAACCCATTCTGACATTGACTGGTACAACCGAGTGTATGATGGAGTATTGATCATTGATAGCTGCGGTGACTTTGCTAATGTACCATTGCTCAGCTTTGATGGAGGAATCAGCTACAACCCTATCTTAGCTCGCCGACAGTTGGGATACCCGTTGAAGGAACCCCCCAAGAGTGTTCAAGTAGAGGGTATGTTCTTCAAAGATGATATAGAGCTTCTAGGAAGAGTTCTGGACGCGTGGCGTAGGGTATACAAGAAAGGAAAGAGAAGTCTAGGGAAGCCTAACTGTGTGTCTTTAGAACCATACCTCCAGTGGGTCAGACAAAGGGCAACCAATTTAAAGATGCCTTATTCCCATCAAGATCCCATAGCTCCAAGGAGGGAGCCCACTTATGTCTTTATGTCTAAAGCCGAGGAGTTAGAGGTGTCCTTGAGGAAGTCTCAACATGAGCTAGAATCTTGGAAGAACAAATACCACGTAGCAGTGACGGAAAATGATGAGTGTCAAAAGAAGAATGCTGAACTTCAAGAGAAGAATGCTGAACTTCAAGAGAAGAATGCTGAACTTCAAGAGAAGAAGGATGAACTTCAGAAGCAGCTACAA